AGTTCGAGTCCTGAAAGACTCGAGATGCTTCTCGATTTATGCGTGTCATCTTTGTGCAGGGCCATGCAAATCTCAGAGCGACTGATTTCAGCTGCGCGATCTCGAAGATCGCACTGCTGAAACAGGCCGCGCCCAACTGCCCTAGCATAGTGGGCTGCTCCAAAAGGAGCTAGCCCGGTAGCGCGGCTGGTCGGGTTCGATCCCCATATTAGTGGGGTGACAGTCAAGTACCGGTACCTACTGGGCTAACTCCTACCAGGCAGGAGCAACTCTTCTATACAAAAAGCTTGCCCAGTGGCTGTCCCCCCCTCTGTTGGTGGCCTTGCAGGCCCTGCCTGCCTGTGGCCTTGCCAGCCTGGCCTGAAGCCTTGCATGCCCTGCCTGCCTGCCTGTGGCCCAACTGCCTCGCCTGCTTCAGGCTTTGCAGATTCTGCGTGCCTGTGGCCTAATAGGCTTGCTGGCAGATCTTTCCCCGTCGGTTGGCTGCATGACCTCGACATCGGCCTATCAACCCCCTGGCTCGATGTCAACCCTCGCGGCCCATAAAAGAAATCCCTTCTTACCTATTCCCTCAACGTCGCGGCTCTATACCCGACGCATCCCTCTTTTTAGCCTATTTTAGGTAGAATAAGTTTAGTCGTAGCATTCCCACATCCGCACGCTTCTACAACCATGACAGAAACGAAGCATTGTCGAGTACTTCCATTACTCTCGGACGCCACCGGCATCCGGACTGGGGTTTTAAAGTTTTAGTCTCTCAGTCATAGGTCAGGTCTGAATAAACTTCTGGCAATCGTCAGTCTCATCGAGTCCTTCAATTTAACGAAAGAGTCAGACAGCGTCAGACGTTTAAAATCTCCGACAAATACCCTGATATGCCCCGACAACGTGTCGGTTAGGACAAAAATTTGTCGTGAGTAGGAGAGACATATGTTTCTTTATGTAGGCGGATGACGAGTTATCGAGAATGGTGGATAAGTCGTTAGTTCTACCATTCCAGGAGATGTACAAAGATAGTGCAATGTAACCGAAAACAAAAAGAGAACGATGAAGTACATATTTTAGCTAGTCATCATACGGTGATGATTGACCAACTCATATCATGCGACATTATCCTAGAGTTGCACAGAGAGGAACTCGCCCCTTATGTAAGACACAACTCAAAATTTTTTACTATACCAAGGATGGGAAAGGAAAACTTTTCGCAAGTCAATTCATAAAGTGAAGTTAAATCGCAATAGATTCAGTATCGCACTGATGTTTCTTGTCATGTTAAATCAGCTAAGTACGCGGGTTTTCTTGTTATGCGTTCGGATTGCGCAAAGGTCTTGAAGGTTAATGTTTGATATATGTGTGCTTTCTTGATGTTTTTGTGTTTTGCTTTTTGTGAGTTGTGTGCAAGGGGCTAAGGTGGATGATGGGTTTCACGTTTGGTTAAGGTCATCTTAGTCGACTGGCGTACGCCTCGTACTTGGGACATCAGTACCTTGAGCAACGAACAACGTCGGTTTATAATGACGTTTTTACCTATGCGTACCTATGCTACAGCGAAATGAGCAAACGTCATCGACTTACCTACCTCTGCAATTACATGTATCAATTTTCGTACGAGGGTCGAAGGTAAGTTGTGCCCCGCAGGAACCTATCCTGTCGTAAGGGACTGCGAGAAATATAGCTGGCGCACCCAGCTAAAACGAAGAAGAGACGACGCGACCTCGCCCATCTCCGCGGTTGACAAAATTTCTTCTGCGTTGTTTCCAAGTTGTCTTTCATTTTGTTTAACTTTTGCGTGACATGGTCGGGAGGGGGTTCGTCTTTTGTAAAAAAGGCGAGAGCCGATGCACTCGACAACGTGATTTGTTACCCTATCGATCAAAATTGTTAAAACGTTTTACGAAATGTGTTTGAGTTTATTTTTACAACCTCTTCGAGTGAGACGATATTGCCAATGACTGCCTTATAGCTCGATCTATCTTACTCGTGGGACATTTCCCTCAAAATGTTAACCATCCTTTTTATAGGATCGCAATCCCAACATCCCAGTCTCGAAGAGAGTGAAATTTTTCATCAAGGAACTGACTTTTCAGTATTATATTTTTTAATTGTTTGTACTCAAAGAGACGTAAAAACTACCAATATTGAATGCCCTTTTTATTTTTATTTTTTACACAACAAGAATCAAGCTAATTTTTATATAATAGATCGCATCATCAATAAAGTTAATCATTAAACTGTGAAAGTTGGGTTTTCGCTTATTTGATAGTAGTCAATTTGTTTTTCACATATAAATTAAACCTTCAGTACTTGTACAAGGTACGTTTATAAAATCATCAATGCTTTTGCCCCTTCCTTGCCAAGCTTTGAAACACACAGTGCACCCAAAAAAATGAACTGTCGTCAGGATCCTTTTGGCTGTTGCCGCCAACTTTATTGCCCCAGTAAGCCAACCCTTGAAACTTGCGATGTGTATATGGCCGTATATGGCCTCTTGGTGATTTAATGCACTGGCTGTTAAGGGGATGTACACGTTTGCTCACATTGGGTAAAATTAAAATGCATCTTAAGGCCCGTAGAACAAAGGATGAGTCTTAAGTGCGTATGGTTTAAAATCAATCTTACAACTTGCAAAAGTTGGGTTACCACTTTCACTACAATGGGCAAAATGATCACTCCACAATAATTTATATCAAACAAAATCAATCTTATAACTTGTCGAAGTGAAGTTACTTCCATTACACTGCTTAAACTAACTTTACAAAACAATTCATATATATTAGTCAAATTAATCTGACAAAATGTGAAAGTCAAGTTCCCATTTTCAGAGCGGCAAAACAACCTTCCATATAATAATTCATGTCAATCACAAATTAACCTTCGAACTAGTAAAGGTTAAGTTACCATTTCCATGTGTGTGTGCGTGTGTGTGTGTGTGTGCGTGTGTGCGTGTGTGTGTGTGTGTGTGTGTGTGTGTGTGTGAGAGAGAGAGAGAGAGAGAGAGAGAGAGAGAGAGAGAGAGAGAGA